CCCACCAGTTCCCTGATGCATTTTTAAGAAAATTAAACAGATTAATTACAACTTTCCTGCAGCTTAACACCTTAAATTCCTGGACCTTTATGGGTTTTTTTTCTCATAAAGATATTACAGATATCTGAATTGATTTATATAAGAAAGTTACAGTTTAACTAACTTTTGCCCTTTTCTTCTTGTAATATTTTCTTAGTGAACAAGAAAGTACCAGTTCTTTAAAGAGATATTTATAGTTTCAAGATTGGAAATGTGAAATAGTGTTGCAAAATACTGACTTCTCTAACTCAGTTTCGTGTTACAGACGGTTTTGTAACTACATTTTTTTTTTTTTTTCCTAAGGCAGAAAGAGCTTTTTGTGTTGGAAGTACTGTAGGTTTTCCTACTGTCTTGGATGCAGTCATGGATATAGAGATATTCAATACTCGGACTAGTGTATACACAAATTCTGGACACAAGTACTTGGACTATGTGTGTGTTCCAACAACAGATTGAATTTCTCTTTTCTCTCCCCCACTCTGTCATTTTGATTGTGTGAACTAAAACACTCGCTCCGTGATTCTGCAGAAAGTGCGGCGCTGCCTTGTATGGTCAGACAAACCAGAGGGGTTTTTCACAGACATGTTAGTTTCAGTAGGGGCTGTCTGAACAGCACATTTGCTTTTTTCAAAGAAAATTGTTACGGTGTTACATTTGTGTTATTTGTAAATGTAGTTGTTGAATACACGTGTAGCAGATTGATTAAATATTGGTTTATGTCCGGCCTGATAACTTCACTTGTTTCAGGGAAACGACCAAATGCACTCCCTGAGCTCTGGGAATGCAAGAACTTCACAGATTCCACTGAAAATCAGTCTTTCTCAACTAATGTCTTTACTCAGTTAAAGTGCGTCCAAACAATTTTTTCCTCACATTTTCATGCTTTCATAATTGATCAGACCAGTATCAACACTGAACCGAAGAAGCTTTTTATTGATGAATATATTTTACACTCTATAGAAAGACTTTTTATTTTATTTTTTGGAGCATCAGCAATATGGTAGAAAGATGCAACTATAGAAAGGTCAAAATGCTCATATTTATACAGTTGATGTCCACCTGCCTTGGCATATTTTGGACTCTTAATCGATTTTGTCTCCTGAGTAGCATGCATATACACACAAACAGCTGTTGCTGTGTACTCCTAAGTAGTCTTGAGAAAGTCAGCTGGTGTGGAATGTCGATTGGTCAGATGTGCTCTCGACTCCACTGCTGCTTCAGGGCTTTATTTCTCCAATGAATCATCCTGTAGTCGATGTGACACTGAAGAAAAAGCAATTATCTATTGTTATTTGATTGCCTTCAATGAGGGTGTTTTGTAAAATTATCATGTATCATTCTGCAGTTTTGATGGTCATGTTTCCTGAATCAGATTATCCTTGGAAAAAACACAGTGACGGTACGGCAACTGAACTTTCCATCAAACTTCAAATGTGGATGTAACTTTTCACTCTTTGGCTCATGTGCAGTCATCTCATGGCTTATGAAGTTCCAGTGTCCAGTTAGTTGATCAATGTTTCTAATCAGTCAAACATCTGTCATCAAACAACCAGGTACTAACATCTCTCAGACCTGTGCAGGGTCTGTCTGTTGTTGTTATTATTATTATTAATAATAAATTATTATTAGATATTTTTTCATTTTATTTCATCTTTTTTTTTCAACAACAGTCAACAGTATGACAGCTGTGGCCCCATCCATCACAACCACATCCAGCATTCTAACCACAACTTAATCCCTTTGTGTTTGCATTAGACACGGTATTAATGTGACCCATTTTATTTTCCTCCTTTTTGTGCCTCTACTGAGATCTAGCGTGTAAAAACTCTTAGATGAAATGGGACGGATATAATTAAACACGCTGAAGATGGGTCAGATGGATTTAGAGATGCAATCAGGCCGTGTTTTTATTAGATGTGGAATGTAAATATCACTGAGGCCGTAGAGATCCTCCTCTGTCTAGACACACTCCCTCTTAACAGTCTTCAAAGTTTGTGGTGCATTTGTAAACACACCATTCTTCTATTTTATCCGTGTCTTTTGTTTTCCCCATGACAAAACTTTTTTCAACACATTTAATTGTTTCTAAAGGAATTCACCTAAAAAGGATGTGGTGGGGAAAGAGGCATGCCTTACCCTGAAAATGCTTCAAAATCTTCATTGAACTGGAGTTTTTGTCATGCAAATGTTCACTGAGTGAGTCTCCGACAAAATGGCTGTTTCTTTCTGTTGCGTTGTTGCATGACGCTGTTCTTACCAGATCAATTTCTGCACCTATTGTTCTGTTGTTTCCCATGTTTAAGTTAGGATAGATAGTAATTGATTAATCTCACAGGAGTTTCCTTTGTGAAGTAATGCCCCAAGAGGGATTTGAACTTGCAAAACTGCAGAGAAGTCTTGTTGATATTTGGTAAATCATTGTTTCATTTTTATTACATTAGTTATAAGTTAATCAAAAAAGTTACTTTATTACTTCACTTTCTCTTCTCAAACAGGTCCATCACAGAGAACCTCTACAACATTTGACTTTGAGCTAAGCGTCTGGTATTTACAAAGACAAAAATGCCATGTCAAGAAGCCACACAGTGCAAGCTGTGTTTATATGTGCAGTTAAGTACTTTGTAAGTACTACTGTTAAAGCTCTCCAATTAAATGAATCGTCTTTGTCCCAGCAGACAAACATGATATACTTTTTTTCATAGGGGAGATTGTTTGTCACCCAAAGAATGTTCATCTCTGCCAAGACAATGCTGTTGACCTAATTGGTACCATGTCAAGCAGAACGCTTGCTGCGTAGTTAATTTTGGTGCATTAGTCTGCTGTAACAGAGCATCAGGTGAGCAATGGAGTTTTATCCAGTTGAACCTGATTGGTCTCAAAACTATTATTTATTTATTTTCTGCCAATAATTTCTCCTTGTTGTGTGTCATATGTGACAGAATAATTAAATACTCTGTTACTGGGTGGTAGTACATGCTATAAAAACTAAAACAAGAGAGAGACTTGGAACTTTTGAGAATATTTAAGACACTAATCTTCTAAAGTAGTATTACTGTACATTAGCCTTTTTTCATTTTACTTTTGGTAATTTTTCAGATGTAGAAAGCTTTTAACATTCTGTTCTTACATTTTATATAAACAAGGCAAGTGGCCCTCCAGTCATTGATTTGTAACCACAGAGAGCAAATAATACACCGCTCAATAGTAGAGTAGTGAAATGGATAGGGGATGATCTTTCTGTATGGAGTGTACGCAGATGTTGGCTTTGTTTGTGTGTGGGTTTTTACCACTTCCACGGCCCAAAAAAAATACACAGATTGACAATTAGGTTAACTGCAGACTGTTTATTGGCCACAGGTATGCATGAGTGTGAACAATCATTTGCCTCTATATGAGGCCCTGCATTGGACTGTTGAACTGTCCAGGGGTGTACCCCTCCTTCACCTGCTCTTGACAGTTCCCCTAAAAAAGATTAAATTATAGAAGACAAATAAGTCAATGAGTCAAATTGTTCACCTTTTTTATGAACATGTGACATGACAGTGACGTGAGAGTGAAATTTGTTTTTAAGGCAAGCAAATGTTAAAAGAAGAGGCTTTAGCAAATGACTGACCTATATTATGTTACCTCATCTGTTAATGTGTAACTAGTGGGCAACATGTTCCCTAGACTTTGGACAGGAATGTGCTTGTTTCTTAATGGTCTATCAGTAAGAAATAGCAGTGTTTTATGCTCTGCACCAGACCTTGGTCCAAAGCTTCTTTTTTTTTTAGACTAGGATTTTGAACTTGTGATCAGTGTTTTTTTCCCCACCTTATATTTATTAAAAAAATAGTTGCCATTGTTAAACGAAAGCATATCTATCTCTTAACACATTGTGGCATGTTTACTGAGGAATCATTTTACAATCTGAGCACTGTGAGTCTTTGTCATCATGAAAAGTACATTTGCTAAATCAAGACCTGAAGAATTTAATCAACCCATGTGATAACACTGCCCCCATAGGCTTCACACAAGGCATTTTGGGCTACGCTGTCCTAATACTTTTGCTTATCTTACCTGTTGCACAGCTTGTGTTTTGGCCATTAAGCTTATGTGAGTGGTGTTGTTTTGATTTTAACTGTGTTGATTTTAGGGGGTGGGGGGGGGTGAGAGAACTAGAATGGTTAGTGGAGCAGAAGAATGAGTGTGGGTGGAAATGATGAAGAAGGAAGTATAATTAGACCGTAATAGACCTGGAAAGAACCTGACTGAGGACAAGGAGTTCATGACCTGGGCCTGTGACTCATGCACTACAACGTCTTTAATTTATATGTTTCGGCTCCACACAGCAGATCTTTACGCTGGAACTTTATGTTGCACCCAGCTCGTTTTTCAATGAAGAATTTCCTTTTGCACAGATGTTTTAAAGGCAACCACTCAGTGAATGGCTACCATCTGTGTCTGACCAATATAGACGACTACAATGGCTGATTAATGAGTCCATTTTGAGCCTTTTTGCCAACCTCGCAGATCTCCTCATTCTTTGTGGGCTGTGTGTCATGGTTTGAAACTGCGTGATTGCCTCTTGTGGTTTTCACTTCTAAACCACAGCTTTTCCACTACCAGATTTAGGCAGGGAGGACATTTGAAAACGGTCAGTTCTTCCTTTTTATATTTATGCCCCACAATCTATAGTCAGAATGAACTATTTTTCATTGTGGTAAATGAAGACAATACAGTATATCAGTTTGGAGAGTGAGTGCTATGAGGGAGAGGTTTGTTGGCTTCACATACAGTTCACTTCCTGTTTTCAGGCTCCTATAAATTCCTAACCCTGACTATTAAGGTTTTTTTTCTTTTTTTTTCTTTATCCTCCTGCAGCAGTGACACATTTGACTTTAAACAGTAGTACTTTAAACATGCATGTTCTCCACAGTATATGTGTAATATATATATATATATATTTTTTTATTTCACAGACCTTTGCTCCAGTGTCAAAGGAACTGGTCTTCAAAGACACTGGACCAGAAGCAACAACATTTGTGTCCAAAACCTTAGGAGGAGGGAATGAAACTGGATGGGGTTACCATGGACACCATGGAGCCCACTGAAGCTGCAGCAATAGCAGAACCCTCAGAGTCTCAGGACAACGTCACCGGGCAAGCGCCGTCTCAAACGGAGGAGGTAGTGAATGAGGCAGCATCCGCAGCCGCTCAGACAGCCAATGACAAACAAGTGACGGCAGATCCCAAAGTTAAACCCAACAGTGTAGCAAATAAAACACAGCCTAAAGCCAAAACAGCGGGGGCTGCTGGATCCAACTCACGTCCAGGTACTGCCCCCCACAATGCAGGAAATGATGTAAAATCCTCCAAAAGTGTTTCTTCAGCTGTTGCCAAGAAAACAACAGCAACAATGGCATCAAAAGCCTCAGCAGCAGGAGCTCTACCTAAAAGACCACTGGGTGCATCAGCAGCTTCCTCTATAGCCAAGAACCAAACGAGAGTGCCTGACAAGAAACCTGTTGGACCAACCAGGACTACCTCTGCTGCTGCTGCCACAGTGACAAATGGTTCCAAATCAACAACGTCCAATTGTACTCCCAAGAAAAAAACAGAGACTGTTAATGCAACAAAACCCAAAACTACAGGCAGGTCTTAATGACATGTATTTACTCAGGCCAAAATGTTAGGAGACTCATTTTGTCTGGTTTTGCTGACATTGTTTTTCTCATCTTTCAGTTGGTCTCACCAGGCCAGCAGCTTCTACTGCTCCGAAGCCCAGCACAACAACTGCACCAAAAACTGTTGGTGCAGCTGCTTCAAGGATGACGAGGTATGTTTTGTTTTTTTTTTAAATCAAATTAAAAACAGCTCTTTTGATTTATATTTTTTGGCTTTTCTAATTTCTTTCATTTTCATGCACCCTTCTCTCTTCTTTCTTGTCATGTTTTTTTGTCTCTGAGATTTGATCTTTGAAATCCCTCGAAAAACGGATTAGATGCTGACTTTGTTTATCCTGATGCTCTGAACGGTAGCAGTAGAGAATGTTGTCCATTGTGGTCCCTCGGCCGTTATTGAGTCAAATTTCACTTGAATGGTGTGAGTCATGTTAACAGAAATAACCCGAGACAGAAAGCCTTATCACAGCCAATGATACTGAAGAACTGGGGCTTTGTCCTGACAGACCCCCTGGACACAATCAGACCCAACTCCCTGGGGCGCGGAGTCGCTGACTAGTCTCATAGCCCATCTGAAAATGGGCTAATGGTGCAGTAGGTGATGACGCAGTAGAACAAAACTTCAAGTATTGCTCCAAATATACCAACCATTCCTTGTTGTTATGGGCTGTTTAACAGAAATACAAGCTTGGTGTTTAGAGGATGTCCAGCAACCATAAATCTATAGCTACATGTATTGGATATTACTAATGTCTTTGTCAATGAAGTGGGCGCTGAGTGATATTATTTTATCTAGGCTTAACTAATTCACCATCCCAGTATCTGCACGCAGGATGTACTGCTGTGTACAAATAGACCTGATTAGATTCTGCCAATACAAGTCTTCCGCCTCCGTGTCCTCTTATTAAGTAAAGGGGATAATGTGCTCTCCTGGTCTTTGTCAGTGATACATGTATCAGAGAATTAACATAAACCACTATATATATATATATGTATGTATGTATGTATGTGGTCAGTGATAGTGGCATGGGTGCACTGTGAGATATTACAGTAATGGTGTTTTAACAATATTAGCCCAAATGACTCAAACAAAAAAGCTCTAAAAAGATATGGTTTAGTCGACCACGTGCGTGCCTTTGAGAAGTCCATCCTCTAAATTAATCAGATCAGACCTTTAAACAGTAGGTGTCTGATTACCGCCAGGCAGCGCTCTCTTTGTTGCTGGTTACCTAGAACTTGGACACGGGCCACTGGCCTCCCAGGGAACAGAACAGTAGCAGGTGTCTGACCCCGTGACATATGATGTAAGTTATTTGTTTTACCATGTGATGTGGCTTAAAGACAAACCGTTTAAAATTCAATTTTGTAGCAAGGATCAGATCAGCTGGTCAGTCTCAACTAAGGTTATAATAGTTGGTGTTAAGGTATTTATACTAAATTATATTCTGTCATTAGAGCCAAGGGAGCGAAACTACAACTAACAATTCCTGGAACACAATAAAAAAAAAAACATCTTAAGGAGCCATTGGAGGAATTGGTCCTCCAAGACAGATGCTCAAGATTCCAGGCACAAGGTCTCTGAGAAGGAGTTCATAAGACATAATTTATTACATTTATATTCTGCTACTTAATCCTGTTCAGGGTCACGGAGCAGGTGCCAATTCCATCTTAAAATATAAATTTAATCAAGGATCAAGGATGACAAACCACAGCCACCCACGCAGACACACACACACAGGTATGGCCAACTCAAATAATAATAATAATAATAATAAAAAACTTTACCCCAACCCTAACTTTATCACCTTGTTGTTTAGTGCCAGGCCCTGTGGTGTCTCAAACTGCAGGTGCATCAATGTGACATGGACAATACAGATTCAGTCATTTTGTTTAAATGTCACAGTATTTTCAGTAACATTCTGAAGCTGTAGCTGTGAATGTGTCCATATTTGTTGGGGGGGGCTTGATGTTGATCCTGAGTTTGGGAACCACTGGGCTGAATGCACATAGAACTTGTTTTATAAATGTTTAAAAAGGTGAGAATACCATTGTCATCCAGAACTTGACAAACGCTGAGTCAGTCTTTGGTAGGACGCAGTGCAACCTGATGATTTCAGTTCTGCATCTCTGTTTTTATCTTGGTGTAAATAACTGAGAAACATGTAAAGACGAACAACCTTTGTCCCTGTGATTAATGACCAACCATTGATTCATGGCCAAACGTCAAATCTCTCACCTCCTCCTGCGACGTGCTGTAGTGTCCTTGCACTGCCTGAGCCATCGGTCTTTATCTGCCCCCGAACCCTCTTTCTGCTTCTCTTCCATTACCCTTCATTCTTCGTTTCTGTTCTGTAGAGTGCTGGGCATTTGGCCACTCCTTACAACACAGTTTCCATTCACCGTTCAAACCGATTCATCAATACATTTCATTGACAGATTGTGTAGCATTATACGATGGTTCAGCCTTGGCGTATCTGAGCGGTCTGATAGGATGAATAATAGGTCACTAGAAACTAAATAGGTTTGATTATATATTTAGTTTGTATTTTTATTGTTTGTTGAAGCAGTTATTTATCTTAAAAAGAGGCTGACAGCCTTTATTACTTTCTTTTTTTTTTTACCAACAATTTAGATGTTTGCCCTGCAGGGAAATTACAAATCTGGTCATTAAGCCAGTGGACTGATATCTTGGATGGAAAATGGTCTAAGTTGAATATATTGCAGTGCACTTTGTTTGGCAATGGGAAAGTTAATTGATGTGTAATTTTCTTGGGACTTTTGGGAGTTTGTGGTTCTGTTGTTTTGCTGCCAGTTTGGAAGAAACAGAAACACAATTTTTGGTTCAAAGCCATGTCAGAAAAGACGGTTTAAAAGTTTTGCCAGGCAAGAGACCATTAATTTCCATTCTGATTGCAAGTAGTTCTTTTTTGCACCAGTAGGCCCTTGAATAAATTTAATTGGTAAAAATCTTTGAACCTGAATCTGTCTGTGTTTTATACATACAGTACGTACGCTGCTGTGGGTGTGAATCACAAAACTCATTCCTTGAAATTATGATTATGATTATCCGCCATTTTAAACATTTTGGCTGTTAAAAATGTTTTAGAGTTATTATAATAATTAACATGTGGTTTAGCGTCATTGTCTGTTCAATGGCCAGGAAGCAAACTCTGAACAGGTCCCAGAGCCTGTGGTCCCTCATAGCAGTTGCACACGGTCCATGACCTGCATGTTTCCTTTTAGAAAAAAATCCCTAGTACAGTTGAATGTTGTTGAAAATGATAAAAAATCCCTAGTACAGTTGAATGTTGAAAATGAAAATGAGCTTATAATCCTCTGCTATTGCTTCAAACATTTGAACAAAACACTACAAAGAAGGGCTGATATAGTAGATTTTTTTTATTTTGCAGTCCAACATATGAAATTTTAATAAAAGTCCCTGCCCTTGTATCCCTTTGTGCTGGTCAGCCAGTTTCATCCAAGTCACTCGTAGAAAAAATAAAACAAAAAACGGTCCAGTCTGTCTGACGGGTCTGGCAGAGACCAGGATTACTCTCCTGGCAGGAAGCGAAGATCTCTTATATCAACCACGATGACAGTGTGTGCCCAGAGCCTCATAACAGCCAGCTTGCCTGCCTGCAATTGCTGGGCTACAACACTTCATTTAAACTCTCCACTGAGCAGATTTGGGCCTTCATTCTTATATTGTCAAGGAGATAAACGTGGGTCCATACAAAGTGTTAGGAATGTGTGTTCAAGTCGGGAAGGAGAAAAGCAGCTGGTTTTGGACAGCCTACAAACCAAACAAGGAATTGTCAGAGAGCTTGAAGTGATGAGGGGAGAAAACTCTGCTTTTATTATAAAGCAGGACCAATTACAGCAGCAGAGAAAAGTGTGAATCCTGACCAAAACCGTTGTCCTTAATACCAGAGAATGTGTAATCAGAGAGATATGTTTGTCTTGATGAAATTTTGTGATATAACAAAAAGGGTGTGGCTTCAACGGACTCGCCTCGGCCAATGTTTATACCTTGTGTTTTGGCCAAAACAGATGTTCCAGTATACAGAATGTTAATGTCCTGAACATGTGTGAGTCTTTACAGAAGAAGATGGAAAACCCATAAAAATAAAGAGATGAACAGCCACTGTCCTGACCTTTGCCGTTACGCTGATGACCTCATGTCTGGTCATTAAATCCTGTTTAATGTTGTGTTCGGGGTCTCGCATCCTTTCTGTGGGCTGAAGTATTGATTTCAACCCTCTGTTAACAGGAAATGTAATCCATACTAATACACCAACAACAGAACCATCGTCCTGACCCGACAGATGGTGTGTGTGGGGAGTGAGTATAGCATTAGTGGGCTTGTCTTCTCTTTTCTTCAGTCCCTCTGGATCAAACCTCTGAGTTATGAGTCAGTCCAGTGGAGGTGGGGTTGGGGTTGGGGTTGTTTAAGGCTATGTTGTGTCTCTTTGTGAATCTGTCCCCTTTATTATTTAGCTCTGTTTATACCGAGCCGTGTACTCACTGTTCTCCTCTTGTAATGTTGCGATCATGTCTGATCGTTCTCACATATAAAGGAGTGAATGTGACCATCGCTCTCTCTGGTGCAGCTTTAATCTTTTCATGACTTCCTATCGCTGCATTGCTTTGGAGTTCTTTTCTGCTGCGTCTGATCTCGGAGGGAAACAAATGGTCATTGTAATTGTCATTGTAATGTAGGAGTGGCATCCGTGTGCGGGCATGCTACTGCACAGAGAGCTATCAAAGTGGCTGTGCCCCCTCTCCCCCCCCCGTACACCATCAACTATGTCGGCAGACCAATTCCAATAGAAGACATTGTTGTAAATGGTAGCTAGGTCACACGGTTCCTCACTGCAGTTACACTCAGTGATGCAGCACTTTGTGTTGTGAGAGTGGTGCAGTTCTGATGAGTAACAGATGTTGTACAGTTTATTTACAGGGTCAGGCCTTCTCCTTGCTCACCAGCAGGGTTTTTGTGTGAATATTAGAAGTAGTGGTTTTCTTCATCTGACTTGTTCTCAATCTGACACATTTTTCTGACTGACTGAAGTATGATGTGAGCAATTTTGGTTTTGAAGCACAAGGGCACACACACACCCTGTATCCTTCAGCTTCTAACATTTTGCATCGCTTCGTTCTCATCTCCGTGTCTGTTCGTGTTCTTCTTCGGAAAAAAATAAATGTAATAAACTCATTACTTGTTATTACACAATAAAATAATGACCTATCTTCCTCTTATGTTCTTCCAGGCCTGCTACAGCTCCATCAACATCACGGCCTGCAGCCACCATGTCCAGACCCACCACAGCACCAACCAAGCCCACTGCTAATGCAGCTGCAAAAAGCACTGCTACTAAAGTTACAGTAGCACCTCCTACAGGCAGAACCACAGCAGCGCAGCCTTCCAGACCCACTGCTGCTGCCAAGAAAGGTAAGAGCATTTCACCCTGCAGTGCTTGTGCTCAGAGCTATATTTATATGACATTAATAAAGAACTTTTCCCCTTGATCTTGATTTAAACACTATAAAGTGTAGTATACATATAAACACAAATTGTTAAAATGTCAAATTGTTTCTCAGCCATTATTGTCAGATTTAAAGAAATGTTTTAGGAAACTATCAGCTGGGAAGAATTACATTCTTTTCTGTAATTTCTTTCTTCAACTAGATGTTGGTCGTCCACCCTCAGCTTCACTTGCTAAGAAACCTCCATCTAGTACAACGTCAGCTGCTGCTAAAAAACCTGAGCCCTCTAAGCCCGTGGCATCTGTAAAGGTTAATTCTGTTTTCAAATCATCTGGAACAGCAAAGCCAGCTGACTCCAAAGTGTCGCAGTCCAAATCTTCCCAGCCAGTAAAAACAGCCACCACAAAGCCTGTTGCTCCTGTACGCTCCCTTCCGTCCAACAAACCTCCCCTTGGCCGAACCCCACCCGCCTCTCCAGCAAGCAAACCGACCAAAGGCACTACGTCTCAGCCAAATCGTGACACCAAACCCACTAAGACTGTTTTACCTTCTACTGCGGTCAAGAAGACAAAGGCTGCAAATGCGTCCAAACCCATTGCCAAAACAGAAACTGCTGCAGTTGCAGCTGTCGCAGCTGTAGCAGCTGTCGCAGTATCACCTGTTCTCATGGAGACACAAGCAGGGTCTGCAGAGACCTCACCAGAAGGATTGACTCCTGCTGCCTCTGCACCAGAGGAGCTCCCTCCTCCAGTCAAGACACAAGACACTCTGACAGAGGAGGCACCTCCAGAGCCTGTCCAAATTCCTGCAGCTGCTCCATCTCCTCCACAAAGTCCTGTCAGCACAGAATTTACAGAAATCTCTCCTGACCAGCAGGAGCGAGAAGACCGTGCTCCGTCACCCACTTCTCCAGAACTCATTCCTGCCTCCGTGGAGTGTTCACCACCTTTGCCTTTACCTATTGTAGAACCTGTATGCGAAGAGCCCATCCCCTTGTCAGCAGAGGAGAGCCCCTCTGCTTCTGAATCCCTCCGACCAGAGGCTGCTGCAGCATCAACAAATGCTGCTCCTCAAATAGTTTCTACCACTAATTTGAATGAGGAGGAGGAGGAAGAAGATGACGAGGAGAGGGAAGGAAGTCAACAGGTTTCTGTGTCCGAAATGAGCGGGGCTACACAGCCGACAGAGGAGTCCCGTCCTGGATCGGCTGGATTGGTAGGAGGCGCGGCGTGGCGAGCCAGCGGTGCCCTGCTCTCTGAGCTGGACTCTGAGGATGTGAGTGGCAGTCAGCAGGGAGCTTCTGAACTGAGCGCCCCTGGAGTCCTGGAGGGCACAGAGAGCACAGATGACCTGGGGGATGGCAGTCTCAAAGGAGCTATCGACATGGAAGGAGCCTCAGCAGGGTCCCCAGACTTCGAGAAGGTCCCAGACATACCAGCTAACGACTTTGAGGAGGATGAAGATGAAGACGATGACGACAACGACCGCGTGTGCGACATGGATGTGGGTTCAGAGCGAACCGATGAGTTGAGGAGACCGAGGCATGACAATGATGTGGATGATGACGAGGAGGACGATGAAGATGTGGATATGGCCAGTGAGGGCGTCACAGAGAGTGGGCTAGAAAGCTATGGGAATGCGGATGAGGACGACTTTGCCGAGGATGAAAGGCTGGACAATCTAAACAGAGTGGCCCAGCCTCCACCTCCACCTCCTCTGCTGCCTTCTGCTCCCGCTGCTCAGTGGGACCAACCAAACCCATTTTCTGATCACTGGGCCGAACCTCTTCAGCCGCAGCAGTTTCTAGAGCAGGTTGGTCAGGTTCCAGGAGCAGCTGCAGCCAACCCATTCCAGGCAGACTCTGAGACCCCGACTCCAGCCCAAGCTTGGATGGAACTGGGCTCTGCTACATTTGTCTTGGAATGCCAAGAGTCTTCCCATCAATCTTGCCAAAATGTAGAAGCTCAGATGCAAGTAGATCCGTCCAGCCCTGCTCCAATGCAGACCCTCAACCTGACTCCTGCTTCTGCTCCAGGAATGTCCCTGTCGAGCACCGTGAGCAGCGAGACTAGCACACCTGAAGAGCTTTGTGACAACAATCAACACGCACCAGGCACGGGGTCATACTCTGAGCCTGACCCAAGCTTCCAGCTAGACACAGGTGCTGAGGACAGAGAGGAGGAGGCGGAGACCCTGCCAGCTGATGAAGTCCTTGGAGGTCCTGCAACAGCGCCCACCTCCAACCCTTCATCTTCCTCAGTAACGGAAGACGAGGCCAGTGACACAGAGGGCGAAGCTCAGCTGGACGACTCTCTGGAGAGTCCAGCAGTCGGCCACAGTACCTTCAACATCCAGCCTTCAGCGCAGCGCTGCCTGTCCACTGTGGAAGAAGGAGAGGAGGCTGAAACAGAGGGGACTGTCGCTGTTGAAGACACCACCCCACCATCGGCCACCTCTTTGGCGTCCTACGGCTTTGACACAATGACCACAGCCTCAAACTCAAATGCCCACTCCACGGGGGAGAGCTGCATCAAGAGTCCCGGAGTGTTCTCTCTGGAGGAGCTGCCAGAAGAGGCCAAGGAGCCCTGTCTGAACCCACAGCCCTGTCTGGCTGAGCAGCCCTACATCGAGTGCGGGAAACAGGATCCAGAGCCGGCCGAGTTCAAAGAGGCGGAGACACTGGGGTCAGAGGAAGAGGAGGAACCCTCAGAGAAACCAGAGGAAATCCCAGATGACATCCAGCCTCCTTACTATGCTATTTGTGAAAAGACTGAGAACTCTTTTGCAGGTAACGTATAGTTCATCCTCTCCCTAACAGCCCTCAATAACACCCAGTCTCCCTTTTAAAAACAAAACAAAACGACCCAACAATCACAGTGTAGTATTTGCTGTTGTCAGTGTTTGTCCTGTTATCTCTGGACACACTTAGAAAAACAGAGAGCAAAAAAAAAAAAAAAACAAATGGGGAAAAATAAAGAGGACCGCAGTGACCTTTCCCTCTTCCATTTCCACATAATATGGCTTCAATTCCTGTATGTGCAATAGCTACTATTTACTCCTGTGTGTGAGAGAGTGTTGTGTCGTGCTGTTGTTTTAACAGAGAACTGTGTGACCGCTATAAACAGGCATGTAGAGGACGTGTCGATTTACCAGAGTAAAAATGGAAACTAATCAAAACTAAAGAAATGTTTCAAGTTTGTTTTCATGTGTATTTATCCCTGTTTTTTTCTTTTCTTTTTTTAATGAACAGCGCCGACAATTAAAAATAAGTTGTGATTGTATATTCATGTTTAATTTCACCGTATTACAGGCATCATCTTTACTCACTCCTCGTCTCTTCTTGCACTTTAAATTGTAACCCCAACTTTTTCCTCCTGTTTGTCCATGGTTTGGAATTATTGAAACTTAAAACTTTGAATAAAGATTAGATTTTTTTAACATCTTACATTCTCTTAACTTACAATTTTATTAAAAGGGTCTGAGGTTGTGCAAGAGTGCATCCAAGCATCACAAACTAATACCAGCAGCTACTTATGTCATTGTATGACACAAGTATTCCACTCAGTCAACACTAAGCTCCCATTGATACTAAAAAAAAAAACCAAAAACACTCGCACTCAGACTTGAAGAGAAACACAGATGATAAAGTGTGAACATTATAAATAAACATCAGTACTTCAGTCATCAACCCTCAAGATGATCACGGATCAAACAACAACATTCCAACAAGAAGAAGAAGAAAAGCTCGACATCTTGCTGTTCATTCCCCAAGAAAGGTCCGGTGCTGCGTCTCACTTCAGCCTTTTCTCCTTAAGCATTCCTACTGCACTGTTCTACGGCGACCTGTCGATGTTAATGGAACTCATGCATGTCATGGTGGCACAATGGCTTGGTTTTTCTCATCTCATAACTATGGATTGTTTCTTTTTTTCTTTTTTTTGAGGGTGGGGATCAGGATGTGAGGAGAATAGCTTGGTTCTAGGTCAGGATAGGTTTGAGTTAAACTAAGTGGATTCCTACTAAAGCCAAGCTATTTGATTTGAGTTTTTCTGTGACGCTGGTTAAATGCATGGAGAGCTTCTGCATGAATCACTGTTTGACTAACTGTACACTCAGATCACAGGTGATGATGATTTTAACTTCTCACTGAGCTGTTCTTATAAATCTCTCGGTAATTTGATAGTTTTTGCATATACAGGAAGTTGGCTGCCATTTTGGTAAATGTAGAAATGTCACTTATACAAGTTGCTCTCTGCACAAATGCCCCTACGCTGGGTCACCACCCCCATTCACCTCACCCTGGGTCACTTTATTCTACTGTGTCCACTGGTAATCTGCAAATGCTAAAATTACTTTGTTATTGCTACACAGCTTGCATCTACACCACACTCTCACCGTGCCTTAAGTCAGAAGTACACAAATCTGGAAGCTGGACGTTGCTCGTTGATTTTCATTAATTTTTTTCTTTGTGGCTTCACGATGCTTCCTTCAGCTCCCCCCTTCCTTCTCACCCTTCTGCTTGTACTCACTGCACTGCTTTCACTGTGCTGCTGCCTGTGACTTGTTTTGTATCATCAAGCTACTGTAATTTTCCTTCCCACTTCCTCTCACACACAGGCTTCACTGCACTCCTGCAACCTCACCAACGCGATCACGCCGCGTACCCCAGAAACTACTGTGACATCATCAAACCCCACGGCCCCTCCGTGACACCGCCGAAGCTGACCTGTGCTGACCTCCCTCCGAGAAGTCCAGGGCAGCAGGCGTTGAGCCCTCAGATCCGCCGGCTGGAGCAACACCAGCGTCAGCTGCTGGAGCTGCAGCATCGCCGGGAGCAGCAGAGCCGACCACTGGAGGAGGCAGAGCAGGAAAGGAAGAGGAGGGAGGAGGAAGAGGAGAGGAAGAAGAAAGATGAAGCTGAAGAGGAAATAAAAAGGAATAAAGAAAAGGAGGAGGAAGAGTTAAGGGAGCAGGCGGCACTGGCAGAGAAGGAGAAAGAGGAGGATCTGAAGCAGAGGAGAGAACTTGAACTTCAGCTGCAGCAGCAGCAGGAGGAGCTGAAGCAACGGCAGCAAATCATGCAGTGGCAGCAGGAGCTGCAGCAGTCCAGTAAAGGACAGACGGTGCTGCTGTCTCCTTCATCAGGTCTCTGTACCATCTACGAAGCCCTGGAGAGCAGCGATGAAGAGGATGCAGAGGAGGATGAGGTGGTGGAGGAGCTTATCTGCCCTAAGAAGAAGAAGGAGCCCAGAGAACAGGAATCGCACCAGGAGCCTGAAGACGACTCTGAGCGAGTGAGTCCAAACAAAGACTTTTTCCTTTCCACTGAGGAGAGTTCTTTTATCCCAGACCTCCCAGAGACGGCCAGCAACTCCTCACAAGATGAAGATTCCTCCTCCCCCTGCCCTGCTGGGTCTCCGGAGAGACCTCCTCCTCTGGACCTGGACTGGGGGAAGAAAGTGGACATAGTCCAGCAGCTGATCAATCAGACCCTGCTGCTGAATGGAGACAGCTGCTCGTCACTGCTCCTCGTGCCTGGTGGTGCTGGGGGCACCCTGAGCCCCCTGGAGAGCAGCCTGTGGCCCACACTTCTGCCTCCGCTCACTCCACCCTCTGCTACTGTCACCTCCGTCAGCAGCTTCTCTCCAGAGGCCACAGGAAGCTCCCCACAGGGAGAGTGGACAGTGGTGGAGCTGGAGACGCATCACTGAGGAGCAGGAGACGACCACCCTGTCAGAGGTTAAACGCTCAGTTATATCAGCAACGTAAGACTGACAAAACACGAGTAGCATCAAAGAGAGTGCCCCATATTTTTTACCACACTTGCAGCTAATGAGATTTAAATTTGTTTGATCAATGCACCAGGTCAAACAAATAAACCGTTAGACTCTCAGCAGCCCATATAAATACAAAACAGTCAGTCAGAAGAGAACACAGCGCTGTGCATCAGTGGTTCGCAAACATTCCCGACAAAACAAATTATATTACCAAGTTCAGTTGAATAATTATTCTCAGACTCTTTGTGATTTCAGACAGTTGCTTCTAATGGATTTCTGAATAATGTGATTATAAATGAAAGCTTAAAAAAGAACATTTTAAACTAACTTAAGTGGAATATTACAGAGCTTTTACACAAATACAACTTTTTAGTGATGCTACGGTAAAACGTTTTCTTCCTGATGTGTATACCAGTCAAAGGTGTTAAAATAGAGCTGACTTCATCAACCTGAGTTAAGACTCTTTGGACGTGTTTACCTGGAGCAGGTCGTTAGTTTTAAGAATACATGGGAAACTGAACTCAAATTTCATGTTTAGAAGAATACACTTGTAAAACTTTTTTTAGGCCAAGTGAAAGTTCTTAATATTACATATTGAATTATTTATTTTTATTTTGTCTTATGAGAATTCTTGTGATCTACTGCCTTACCTGGGTCTATTATTTTGGATTAACTGAGCACTGACAGTTGATGAATAAGATGTTAAATATTTGGAATCCAGATCCATAATTAACTGGTAAGAAAAAAACCCCACATTAACCTGAAGAGTCTTAACTTGGGGTAAAGTCGGTGACAAACCTGCGACATGTTTCTCCCATGGAAATTTAAGTTGAACACGAAGTGATACTGAAACCGGGCACCTCGCAACAATCGATATCCAACACCACAAAAACAAACAGACCGATATTATATTTCAATCCTTGTAACTCCACACACACATGAAACCATGTGACTATTGAGAGAATCCCATGATGCATCTGTGCTACTGACTTAACTAGATGTAACTGGACACTTCTGTTTCTGCACCACATTTTTTACCTTGGTTTGCTGCTCGTAGACACATCTGTAGGTCTTAGGAATAAAGACAGGCTTAAAGAGTTAAGCAACACTTTTTACCACAATGTCATCACCTCACACTTATCTGGGCGCAGAGTTTTCACAGAGTCTTGTCAGTGGAGGCGGCCATGTTGGATTGCTGTGGTTTCAGTAGCCCACAGCGTAGAAACTAAAGACTCGCCATTGATAACTGGAGGCTACAACAACACTTGAAGGAAATACTTTATATGATCTGTGTTGAAGTCTAGTCTGTGTTGATCCTAAAAACTGAGTTGTCTGTGTTGAAGTCTAGTCTGTGTTGATTCTAAAAACTGAGTTGGTGGGAATTGTGGGATATATTAACTACTGAGTCATAATCCAAAGCAGTTTTTTCTTTTTAATTGATGAGCTTCAACATGCAGTAAACCATGTTACAAACTGTGGCTGGTTAAGTCACAACCCACAGTTGTGTTGGTTCTCCATGTCTGGACACATTTACTGACACAGTGAGGTTAAAAAATAAGCGTCTTAACCTCAGGTAAATCTACATCTGAAACACTGGAAGTCGATTACACTGTTGTGATTATTAGAAAGTCGGTATCACTGTTCTCTGCGTCAGATTTTCTTTTTTTTTTTTAAGCTTTATCAGCCACAGACTGCAGATGGACAACAGGTTGTAAATACAGCTGTCTGCTACAGCTGAACTAAATACACCAGACTTCAGTTCTCACCCTGGACCTGTCCTGAGGTCACAGTGGTCACAGTGATATTGTTATATGAAGGATGTTTTTATATCAGGTCAAATCAGTGTATCCACTGTACAAATGATGTTGCGTCTGTGTGACGTTGTGTTTTTTCTGTCCTTAGGTGTTGTGTGTGTTTGTGATTCTGTGCTGAAGGCAGTCTCAGGTCAAAGGTTTAAAATATTTATTTTTCCCAGTTTGAACAAGACTGGACAGCACCAAAATTTGCAGGCGACGTTTTTCAACAGTTTTCTTATTCGTTTTATTAATTTTTTTTGTCCTACACTGGTTTCCCTCCAGCCTTAACCCCACCGTTGCAGCTTTCCCACATGTCTCCACCATAGCTTTGTCCAGTATCTTCTTAAAGTCTTTCAGGATGTTGGGTGCTGCAGGAATCTACTGGCTACAGATGTGACAAAACTGGATTTCCTGGGTGTGCTTTACCGCACAAGTTTGTGTTTTTGTTAGCGTCCGTGTGAACGTTGCCTCAAGACTGATCACTGTAATGACGGGAACCTCCTTTACGTTTTTAGCTTAGCGGTTTAGCAGATCTCTCAAAGTCATATATAGATCGAACAGTTTTAGCTGTAAATGTTAGATTTTTATGTTTTGATTTGAATTATCTACCAAGTCATGTCTCAACTGAACTGTTGGGCTGATTGGGGTCAAGGTCTAAGTGAACACAGCAGGCTGAGCTCGTAGTAAGATGTTGGTTAAATGTCTGATTTTTATATTAAATATAAATGAAGATGGGTGTATGTTTATCTACCTGTTGAAATGACTTGATGAACCTGTTAATATGAACTACAAAGGGCACTCCCTCAGTCGGACGCCCAAATCATGGCAGCTTGTTTCATAGTGTAAAATGTTTCTTATGTTTGAATTTAAGAGACGAGATACTGTTATCCTGTGGTGTTATTCCAGTGTAACCTTTATTGTAAATAAAAGGCTTTTTTAAAAAAAATAACTTTTTCTTTACAGAACAAATTCTCACGTTAAACTGAAAAATTCTTGTAAAATCTCAACACTTATAAAAATGCTATCAAACATGAAAACAGTTAACAGGATATTAAGCAGCAAACCTGACAAAAGTGTTTTTTTTTTTTTTTTTGGCTTGACCTTCAACATTCGGTGAACTAAACTGGTCCAGTCTCTCTTCACAAGCTGTAAACTTAGAACTTCAAAAAGCATCAACTCCATCTACTGAGGTGTTTGGTCTGACAACAGCAGCTTCTGCAGGAGGTCTGTGGCACTGCAGCACGTTGGCTCCTCACTACCCAATAACAACAGCCTGTGATAGGAGGCCTGAGGAGTCTCACAGGTGATCCTGAAACAAACATGTCTTGGTGACGCTATCATATACATATATACACACATTTATATATACTGTATTTAAATGTATATTGTATTTGGTCATGATTTGGAGCCGATTTTGAATCAAATCTACCAGTCGTAGATGTCCTCACTGTTGGGGTCTGGTTTCACCTGAACCCATTGACCGATGCTCCACATCTTAGCCATGTTTATGGAACAGACGATGGAGCTGTCGTCATCAGCTGGTGTGTTTGGAATATCCTCACAGCACAGGAAATAACTGACCAGGACAGGAGCATTATGTTAGAAGTCTTAATTGGTAGTTAGGTTGTAGCATTATCAATACAGTGGTATTATGTCAGTAAAAGGTAGTTAGGTTGTAGCATTATCAATACCGTGGTGTTACGTGAGTAAGAAACCACTGACATAACACAGATTAGAACAATAGAGCTACACTAATCTACAGGTTAAGTTTTTATTGTTTTTATGTCTTTAGGGAAGTCTCTGCCATGTAGTTTTTTGTGGTGCAGTTTCAGTGTTCAGTTGTAATGAGTGGTGCCCTCCTGTGGCCATAGTTGATATGAGGTATATTTTGAGGAGTAAAAGTATAGTATATAAGTATAAAATTATAATTTACATTGTACATAACTTATTACAGAAAGCCTTCAGTCATATTTCTATGCTTGCTAATTCTATAGTTTAGTAATATTTGATTGACATCAGGGTTAATATGATTAACTACTACTTCTTTATACAGTATACAATCTATGTGTGAAAATACCAGTCATCAGGTAGCCCTGTGGGCATCACTTTTAAATAGAAGTGGGACTGTTTCAGACTCACTAATCTGTTTCTCCAACTGTATGGGCTGCACACTGCTGTCTTTTTCCACCAGGCTCTTCGTCTGTCTGCTGATCCTGCTGCTCCTGCAGCCTCTCCACGTTCCAACGCATCCGTTTGTACAGGCCAGTGTTGACCTTGGCCAGGTAGGGTGTGAGCCTGCAGTAGCGGAACGCCGTCACCCTCAGGTGGCTGATTTGACTCTGACCAATGCAAAAGTGGGACACACTAGAACCCAGACAGTTAGGACAAACGGTAAGAGACTTAAGACTGGAACTAAAATAACTAAAACTATTTTTCCAAAGCATCTATTTGTGCTCTTGCCCACAATATTATTGGTGCATGTGTGTACCTGTTGGGCTCAGTTTCATCCAAAGAGAGGAGACCATGTTGAGCGTAGGTTAACACAAGCTGCTCCAACTTGTCAAACAGCTGCTGAGACAGATCAAGCAACTGCACACACACCAGTCAGAGAAACAAAAGTTTGGAGTCATGTCAAATTGCAACATTACAGTGAAAACCCATTCTAGATTTTTCTGTAGCAGATGAGCCTGTCAATCAACCAAACGTGTGTTACCTAATGGTTATATTATGGAAACCATTTTGAAAAAGTATATAAATTTAAACCATGTGGATAAAAAGAGAAAGTCAACAGAAGTGAAAGATGTTCCATTGTGTAACGTGTTGTGTTGTTATGGCCACAATTCTCTGTTTTGAGAAATAAACAGAAACAGAGTTCCGTGTACCCTTGTACTGATGTCTAAAGGCAAACCAGTGTTCTGGGACACGCTGTTCCAGGCTGTGGCCTGTAGGTGGTTGAAGAAAGGCTGACAGGTGAACAGGAAACTGGGTACTTTGGCAGCAAGAGCCTGTGACTCTCCAAGACTCTTTCTGCAAACACACAAATTGAAAATAGGTCAGACTGTGAAAATAATCTAACACATTTAAATTACCTTTGATGGAAAATACTGTCCTCATCACCATGAAATGTAATACACACACAATAGTAATGAAATGAAAGAATCGATTGTAGTAATAGTGATATTGTTCTAGTAATGGACACTCTTGTGTGTGGGCAGTGGTGTGACCATACTCCTTGTCCAGGCACTTGTGGAGGTCGTCAGCTTTGCTCATGAGGCACAGCAGCTGCGGCTGCAGGATTTGTAGGCTCGTCTCCATGTCCCTGACCTCCAGGTATCTGCAGTCTTCACGTTTACAGCTGTAAGTTGCCTCATCATCACAAGATGGCGCCAATGTAACGTCAGTGAGCAGCAGCAGCTCATTCGGGCCTGAAAACAATTTAATATGGTAATTTATATCATATTTATATCACATCATTATATCATATGTCTTAATGTATGTGTTATCATAGAACGTTGTGCTAAAATTGCATCACAGCTTACTTAGTTCCACTCATCTTACGATACACATGTTTTATATATGAGTCACAACACTTAGACATGGCCGGAATTAACTAACCGTATCCCCACACTGATCACGACTCACCGATTAAGTCCTTATGAGGTCCCTCTCTTCCACACCCCTTTTCTTCGGACTGTAAGTTTTTGGGCTGGAGCTCAATTTTAACTTCAATTTCTACCATTGTGTCTGTTTTCAATAAAATCTGTTGGATTTAAAAGTAAATAGAAAAACATCTGACGCAGTTCTTTTAACGTAAGAGCTGCAATTAGATAATTAAAGTGTGTTAGCCATTGCTAACCATAAAAAAGTCCAACTAAAAAGGGACGCGAAGGAAATAACAAAGTTGTCGAATATTTACTGTTCTGTTGTAAACACTTTTACAATAAGTAATCCACACTTTAATTACGTAAAACTAGACTAGCTTTGATCTCTAACGGCTTCTGGTCAAGCTAACTGTCATTTCTGATTTGAAGGCGTGGCATTATAGGCCAACAATTAAAAGCACAGGTTAATGTGTACTTTTCTGAATTTCACCGTAAAATTCAGACCTTGTAGTATAACTTTGAATACAGTTAGAAAACATATTACATTAACAATTTAAACGTTTCATTTAATAAAACATTTGTGGCATTTAATGTTGTTAGTTCATAGTGTTTTTGCATTGTTGTTTTCAGGAGCAGACCTGTACCCTAATGTAAAAAAATCTTTATCTTATGGCCTGCTTTACTGCCATCTTGTGGATTCTTCTCTTTACTTTTCACACATACATATCCTAAATACGATCAACGAGGCATCATCCCTTCACTTTCAGACTCCAGAGCAGATGTTTACATGTTTAAAAAGGATTTTTAATGAAAATAAAATTGTGACATCGTAATCAACCCCGTCCAACAGTTGGCTCATTAAACGTACAGTTTACTACGACAGCCCCCTTAGGTCACATGATACATCCGGGCGCGCTCCGGCCGCTCTGCTGTGGACCAATGACGGTCCGGGCGGCTTCGCTAGAGCGTCGGGAGCGCGCGGCTGAGTCTACGGTTTAAGTGGTGCGCGTTGGAGTATGTGTGTGTCTCTCTGTGTACTGCCACTCAGTCATTTTATCTGCTGTCTGAAGCGAGGTGATGTTGCCTTTGACTTCTGCCGCTGAAGACGGTTCAATAGTGGCAGTGTTGTGACTCGGGTCAGCGGGGTTTTTCAGCGGACTCTGGAGCTCTCTATTGTCCCTCGTTGTGCGGCTGCTGGAGGGCGGACTGACTGTAGTGAGTGACAGATGAGCGGGGTTTTTTTGTTGTGTGGCATGTGATACTGAGCAGAGGCTGAGGCGTGTTCGTGTTTCGCGGATGTTACCGGGAGTGAAGGACCCCAGAGAAGAGTGTTTTCTCTCATTACATCTGGTCCACCAGAGCAGGACATGACCGAGGGACAACTGCTGCTGCTGCTGGTGGTTCTCTGAGGCGTCTGCTAGCTGTTGAATACAAGCATCTGTTGACGGAGACCGACAACGAGTCTGTGGCTCTTTACTTTTGTCTGGATATTTACGTGTTTTTAACCCGCACACTAACATTGATCGCGGTTTTGCGGGTGGCAGAGGTCTGACGTTGGTCAAACACATCGGGAGGATCAATTCAGGCGCGGCCACACCATCCAACAATGCGGATTACCTCTTGACTGCCATTGTGTCAATACTGGGTGTTTGCATAAAGTTGAGATAACACTCCCACCAGTGTCGTCGTCCTGTTTGGTTTTCCTAAAAAAGGAGATCATAAGTGACTGTCCCGCATGTGGGCAGACTGTCTGTGAAAAGTGAGACAACGATGGCGAACGACTCTATTCAAGTAAGTTGAAGTCGGTTGTCCTACCAACCTGCATACATTGACCTATTTTACATCTGTAGCATGTTGTGTACAGTATGGTGTCGGTGTAAGCATGTCACTGACCCTCTTATCAAGGCCTCCAGTTTTGGTCTGTCAGTCAAGCGTTGGCTTCATTATCTTGTGCCTCCTTGTGTTTGTGGTGTTGTGTATCTTGTGGTTTTAGTTATGCCTTTCTTGTTAATTTACTTTTCATGACCAAAAGCGGTGTTGTAGCCATGTTTAATAAGTCAGATAAAGGTCAACTAGTTTCCTCATTCATAGTGAATACAGTTGTTGGGGTCATTTACAAAGGAAGTCCCCAATGTTCTCATCCAAGTCCTGCATGTTAAGTCTCCTTCAAAAATTGCCTGTTAGTCTGAATCACTAAAAATGCAAACTCGAACAGAGCCCCATTATCTATTTCACTCTCCAGATGACAATTTCAAATTATATCATGTGACATGTATCATGGCAAATCATATGACTTTATCTTATACTCCCAGATCCCAGTCATAGTGTATACTGTCAAATAAGCTGTGAATTTCCCCAGTGTGGGACAAATAAAGGACATAAAGAAACTTAACTGTCTTTGCAAAGATAGTAGATCAGTGAATGTAAAATTGCATTTTCCAATTATAATTTTAATCCTAATATAGTTTGTCTATATCACCCATATTCCAGTAATAAGTAACCATCAATCTTTCACCTAAATATGATACTTGTTTTTTTTAATGTGATATTATCAGTCTTTTGAAGGAAAAAAAAACATTGTTATAAAACACCAGCTGGGCTAAGTCACCTTGTTTTGTCATTTACTGCACAGTTGTGTTTACCATGATGTGGGTTCCCTAAACTGAGATCTTGTCTGCAGTGTTTTGTGTACAGGTGCATATTGCATGTCAAACTCAACAGTGGTGTTCGTTTTGAAAGCAAACCATTGACCTGGCACATGTTCACCCCCCGGGCTGGTTCATTTTGAGAAATCATCAGCAACGATGTAGATATACTTTGCTATCTACAAACATGCATGGAAACGGGAAGAATCATAATTTCTTACTCAGTGTATTGAGGCTCCCTGTGATATTTAAGTCGAAGTGAGTGCTGTGTATCAATTGACATACTGGTGTGGAGTTGCATATAGAGAAGCCAGGGTACCTGACAACGAAAGGGTGCTTAAACTGAAGGTTCACAAATGCAGGCCCAGGGTATTAATGATGACTGTGACAGTCAGCAGCCCTCAAACATATAGGTTTGAATGCTATACTAAAATAATAGTTGGCTAATAATGTCACTTTACAACTGAGTGTGGGTGTGTTAAGAGTCTGGTCTTGTCCAGTGTTAGGCCAGTCTTACTTCCCATTTCTTATTTGGCCTTGTTAACCTTTGCATTATAAATGACTGAGGACCATTGCTTATTGATTGGTGTCCATTTGTGTTTTTAAACAGCCTCATATGAAACCTAATGGCCTCAAAGGATGGACATTGGGTAGATATAACTTGGGGTTTACCTGCAGGTTGTTCTTCAGACCATCAATAGTTTTGAATTGATTATATAGCCTTTCAAGAACTTCTATTTCCTTACATCACCTGAGAAAATTAATAATTCTCTTGAACATGTTGTGACCCTAAGACAGACTGGCCGACTGTCCAGTGTGAACCCAACTTTTGAACCCACAGCAGGGGTCAGTTCTAGCTTTCCCCCTGACCCTGAATAAGATTTTAACAGTAGAGTGGGATGGATGTTGAAAAGAATGTCGTACAACGTCTCCATTGACACATTTTAAAAATTAGGGACTTTAGGCATGTGTCAGTAATAAAATAAACATTTGTCTGTGATTAATTAGGCTTTTTAAATACACCATCTTATTTGATGGCTTTTACAATGTTTGTGCTCAATTAAGATCCCACTTCAAAAATCTAGTCTAAATCCAGCTTTGGTGCCTTGATGTCACCACAACCTAGTTTTATGGCAGTGTGCTGCTCCGTACCACTGAAAGAAAGAAACGAAAGATCATGTTGTGATGGATTGGCGTGCCCTGCTCTTTAACTTAAAATCTGATTGTATTCTCGGTTTTCTGGAAACTCCTTCATTATTTAAATTCATACCATAATGCTGTTTGTTTGCCTCTTCACAGGAAGTCTATCTCAGGTCAGTTAAAGTCCAGAACCAACTGCATCAAACTTCTACACAAAGGTTGAAAGGGGAAAACAAGAGTTGCAGCAGGATTTGTAACTTTACTTTACAGTATTTACTAAAAAATCTACTCGGTTTTACCATGAATGTTACCCAGAGAATAACATCACACAACCGTTGCTACAACTGTTAACAACTCCAAGTGTCCTCATTTGCAACTTTACAGATGTAACACCCTTACACATGCTCCCAGAACAGACACTCCAGGGAATGCAAAGGAGTACTTCCCATAAGCCTTAGAATGACGTAAGAAGACAGCTATGTGCACAAAGTAGGCTTTCTCAGCACAGCCCCATGGCCATGTAGGCAGACAAAATCCACAATAATGCACCAAAGAACAGCTGTACAACTGGAGACTGAGGGGGGTAGGGAAGCTAAAATTCTCAAGGATGTAGACACGTCAGTTTTATTAAATGAACTTTGAAAGGGCATTCCTTGCTCCCAGACATGTTAGACAACCTGTCACATGATCAGTGCTATTTTTAGACTTGTGCGTATGATTATAACCTCATATTGACTCTGTTTTAGACACTTTTACTTCACCCTCAAAGCAAATTTTGAATTCATATACAGTATGTCAGGCATGAATGTTAAAATCCTAGTCATTTTTGACAAACCAGCTTGATAAGGACATTAACCTTTTGTGGAGTTTTGCAGGAATGTTCAGCTTTATTGGTAATGTTCCAGATATGTTATTACAAAGTTTGTGACCTTACTCATAACCTGTTAAATTATTGCCATGTTATAGAACTTGACCGCTTTGATCATGTAGAAATGATTGATGTTTGTTTTAATGAGAGAAAGAATCTACGGCCTTAGCCTCCTGTCAAGTCGCTGACAGACTCGTCAGTGGATGATGCAATTCTTTGAAACCGTAAAGTTGGTCTTTATTGAGTTATATCAAATTACCATTTTTGTAACCTTTTTCATCAAGAAAGAAAAACACAAAAAGGGGGAAGTCCAAGATGGATGGCAGAGCAGTGGCCTAAATTTTTAACAAGCATGACGGTTGTCCTGGTATAAAGGCTGGGCAAGGCAAGGCTTTCTGAGCACCAATCCAACTAAAGTGGTATTTTGTGACATAAAGTATCTAGCAGTGTTAGCTATTGTGTTTTTCTTATTAATATTTTTCATTAATTATCCTTGGTGTTGACAAGTCCGTCCAACACCATTTAACCATTATTGATCATGCAGAACTGCAAATTTTAAAGTGATGATTTACAACTTTTTTTTTTTTAACATTCTGTCTTTTTTGAGCAAAGTTATATGCAGTTTTGTAGCGGTGACCTGGTCCGTTGAAAACACTGCTGTAGATGGGTCACTGTTGTTCTAAAAGGATCATTTGTGATGGGGATAAAGTGTTGTTTGGGCCCTAAGCATGGAGGCTAGAGGCTAGGGGAGGTCAGAAGGCCATTATGTTGATGATGAGGCTACATAGCCTTTGTCATACAATAGCTTGTGTTGTCTAACGCTAACAGCCCTGATCGCATTCAGTTCTCTGGTAGTTAATTTTCTGGTTGGAATATTTACAAGTCTACACAATCACCAACTAACCAAGCAACTGACCTCTTTTAACCTTAGGCGTTATAGTAAACCCCATTATGACAAATGTAATCAGGCATTTGAGGCTGATGTGATGTTGGGCAGGTTGAATGTTGTATTTTTTTTTTCCGTTTAATCTCAATTCATGATTTTGTATCCCTAGCAGCTGTTATGTGTTATTTTTTTATTTTGGGTTTTGTCCTGTTTTTTCTTCACTCCATTTCATCTTGCCTCTCCTCTACACAAACATCCCATCATTCTCATGACCTCATAGTAATGTTCCCCCTGCATTCCAGTTGGACCCCTCCTTTTCCCTTTGACACAGAGACCAACAGCACTGCATTCACTTGTTTTTGTGACATCACACATTACCACTGGCCTTTTGGCCAAACCAGTGTATTAGAACTGGAAGAAGTAGGATTTGTTGGAACAATGTAGAGGAGAATGTAGGTCTGTTATTTTATCCTACAACCAAATCAAGATTGAAGCAGATTCTTTAATTTCTCTCAAATGTATCCCTCCTATGTGTAACGTATTGGGCAGCTCCTGTCCGTTTTATTGTAGAAAGCCCAGACTAGTTAAACAGGTTCACGAATGGCTTGTCAACACCAGGATCTTTGCACATTGACATTCTGTGAACCTTGACCTTATGGCCGTAACCAGGGCCCCTCGGCCACATACATCGATCCTGGGTCACATGCATTCATTGCGATAGTATACTGGTGGTATTTTTAAAAACAATTAAGGTTAGGTCAATTGTATCTGGTTTTACGAGAGGTTTACTTCAAATATTGGCAGGGTGTGGGGTAAACAAATAGAGAAGACAACAGTGAAACTGTAGTTACAGGTTAACTAGAAGGTCAGTTCAACAGAAAAGAGAATCCCAGAGTCATTACATGGTTCCAATATCTGGGAGATACTTCAACTGTGTAAACTATTTTGATTGAGCTTTTGCGATGTTTATTGCTTACGTTTATATTGCAATGATGATGAAGATAAATCTTGCAAAATCTTTCCCACTGTGGCACAATTTGAGATAAAAAAATTATTAAAAAATTTAAATTTTTTGTAGTACTCTGTGACCCTGCTGCACCATTTGGAAACCACTGATGTAACGCGATCAACCATGTTGTCTTTCTTCATATCCTGCCGTTACCCATTCTACTTTTGCCGTCTGTGTCTCCTCCTGATGTCCAAGCCATGTACCAGCTGCTGCCCCCTCCTCCCTCGCCCTTAACTATCTACT